TATTTACTATGATTAATGATATAGTTGGATTAATATCTACATTACCTGTAATTGTTTTCTATTTGTTGCCATTGTTCTTTGTTTGTTTCTTATTTTTTGGTCTTCTATTCTTTTCTTCTGCCTTTTTTGGTTTTACTTGAGTGTTTCATATGACTCCATTATCGATTCTCTTTTACCATACTAATTATAATTTAATTTAATTTATTATTTTATTTTGTTTACTTTATATTTCATTTTACTTGTTGCCTTAGCATTTGCAATATACATTTATAATCAATCTAACTCCACTCTCAAATAATGCTATAATTTAAGAGCATGCATTATGTACTGATAATTAATGCTGCATTATGTACTGATAATTAATGCTGCATTATCTACTGATAATTAATGCTGCATTATCTACTGATGTTTAGATAATGCAGCTAACCTGTAACTGCATATTCCTAAATTTTTCTCCTGTTCCTTATAGTATTTCCATCACTCATTTTACTTATCTATGTGATAACTAGATAGTACATTGTTGCTAATACTATTTTGAAAAAAAAATTTTCTGTTACACTAATTAAGAATAAGAAAAATAAAAGATTTTAGTTTGTCTTGTTTTGTTTTTTTTGTTTGTTTGTTTGTTTTTTTTTTGAGATAGGGTCTTATTGCCCAGGCTGGAGTGCAGTGGCACAATTTCAGCTCATTGTAACATCTGCTTTCCCAGGCTCAAGTGATTCTCCAGCCTCAGCCTCCCGAGTAGCTGAGACTATAGACACGAGCCACCAATGCCAAGGTAATTTTTGTATTTTTGTAGAGACATGGTTTTGCTGTGTTGCCCAGGCTGGTCTTAAACTCTTGAGCTCAAACCAGTCTGCCTGCCTTGGCCTCCCAAAGTGCTGAGATTATAGGCATGAGCCACCACACAAGGCCTTTTCTTGATTTTTTTAAAAATGCTCTTTCTTTATTAATGTAGATACAAGTTTCTTACCTGTATCATTTTCCTCCTCTGAAGACATTATTTTAACATATCATGAAAGGCAGGCCTCCTGGTAACAAATTCTGTCAATTTTTTTCTGAAAACATCTTTATTTCTTCATTTCTGAAGGATAATTTTACTGGATATGGAATTTCAAGTGGGTGTCTTTTCTTTCAATAATGTAAATATTTCACTCCACTCCTCTTTCTGCTCGCATGATTTCCAAGAAGAATTCTAACATAATACATTTCCTTGCTCCTCTCTGGGTAAGGCATTTCCCCATCTGTGGCTTCTTTCAAAATTTTCTCTTTCTCTTTGATTTTTCTGAAGTTTGAATATGACATGCTTAGATGCTTTTTTTTTTTTTTTTTTTTAAAAAGGCTTTATCCTGCTTGGTTTTCCTTGAGCTTCCTAGAAGTGTAGTTTGGTATCTGTCATTAATTTTGGAAAATTCTCCATTACTGAAGTCATTATTAATTCTACTAATTTTTTCTGTTTCTTTTTCTCTTTCTTCTTTTGCTATTCCCATTATGGATCTATTACACCTTCTGTACTTTTCCAGCGGTTATTGGATAGTCTGTTCTCTGTTTTCTTATTGTTTCTTTCTTTTTGTCTTTCTTTCTTTTGCTTATTCAATTTGAGAAGTGTCTATTGACATGTTTCAAGCTCACTATTTTTTTCTCCAGTTGTGTCCCATCTACTGATGATCCCATCAAAGGCTTCCTTCATGTCTACATTACTTTTTTTTCTTTTTTTCAATCTCTAGCCTTTCTTTTTTATTTTTTCTTACAGTTTCCATCTCTCTGCTTACTTTTTCCATCTGTTATTGCTCGTTGATCACTTTTCCAATAGCATCCTTAGCATATTTTCATCATGGTTAACTTACATTCCTGTACTGATAGTTTTATAATCCCTGGTGTATCTGAGTCTGATTCTGATATTTTATGTCTTTAAGGTTTTTTGTTTTTATTTTTGGTTTTGTTTTGTTTTTACTTAGTTTGTTTTGCTTTTTAATTTGTTTTTTTGCCTTTTTCATGCCTTGTAACTTTATTTTGAGAGCCAGACCTAATGTATCAGGTAAAATGAACTGAAATAAATAGGCCTTTCGTATGAGGTTTACATTTATCTGGCTCAATTGTAGGTGTGTATACTGTTTTCTCTTGCTCTAGGTGCCAGAAGCTAACATTTTCTCTAGTATTTTGGATTATCTTTTCCGTTGTCTTGGAGAATCCTCCTCATATAGCGTTTGAACCTTGTGGTTATTTTTTTTTTTTTTTGAGACAGAGTCTGGCTCTGTCTTCCGGGCTGGAGTACAGTGGGGCGATCTCGGCTCACTGCAAGCTCTAACTCCCGGGTACATGCCATTCTCCTGCCTCAACCTCCCGAGTAGCTGGGACTACAGGTGCCCGCCACCATGCCCAGCTAATTTAAATATTTTTAGTAGAGACGGGGTTTCATCGTGTTAGCCGGGATGGTCTTGATCTCCAGCCCTCGTGATCCGCCCGCCTCAGCCTCCCAAAGTGCTGGGATTACCCGGCCTAACCTTGTGGTCGTTTTATCTGTAATTCCCTGTTATTATACAAAAGGCTAACTGATGTGGAGGCGGTGAGGGGGATGTCTCCTGTAATACCATCATTCAATCTTACTCTCTTAGTGAGATCAGTGCCTCTAGGCTGTGACCTTTAGAATTACTTCCTAGTTCCCTCCCACCTCCATTTAGGTAAGAAAAGAAGGCTAGAAATGACTAGATTTTGGTATTTTCCTTTCCCCAAATCAAAAGCTAGCAGGGATTGAGATGGATATTTTTATTCCCCCATATTTGTAAGGCTAGTGAGACCCAAGTCAGTTGTTGGTCTTGAGTGAAATAGTTTGTCTGTGGGCTGGACTTTGTTAAGGAAAAAAGAATTCTTTGAGCATATTTCACAATGGTTACTTTTCCTCCCCTCTGCTGGAAGCTTGGGGGAATTTTTCTGTAATAATTCTGAGAACCTGGTGGGGCTCCTGGAGGTAAAACGCAAGAAAGTGTGTGGATTCCTCTAATATTCGGTCCCCTGGTGTTTTTAACTTTCAAGCTATTCCACTTTGGGTCGCCAGTATTTGCTAATTGCAGTTCAAGTATTAGCTCAGTTGTGAGCCTCTGCCCCAGCAGGCTGTGATTCTTGGTACCTGCCTCTCCAGTTTTTCAGGCAGTGTGCCCTATGGCCTCTATTATCTGATGGATCTAAAAAACATTATTGATTTTCAGTTTGTTCAGCTTTGTTCTAGTTGCGTGGGTATGAGTGGTGGCTTCTAAACTCCTTTCTTATCAGACTAGAAACTGAAAGTTTATATATTACTTTTTAAGTTTTATGTTAAAGTATAGAATTATTATCTTTTGTGATTTCTTCTATTTTTTAAATGTAAAGATCTTTTTCTGTTGAAAATATTCAATATCTATAGAATGTTTTTCCTTTTTAAAAATAAGATTTTTATGCTTTTATTTTTCATATTTAATTTTAAGTCATGTCGAAGATAAAGTATTAGGAGAGAGAAAATAATTTGATTTTAATTACTAATTGGAAATGCAGTTTGGGAAGAAGCTTCGTAAATTTTAAAAACATTTGTTACATTACTATATGGAAATATGATTGAAGGGGTTGATACTTAGAATTTCATTAAAAACACAACAAAGTTTGAGAAGGTTGAAAGAGGCACAATTTACTTCACTTATCTAAAAATTCTCCCCTATTATTATTCACCATTTCTGGTGCATCCTTTCCCATTCTACCTTGAGCTGCTTGCTGGTGAGTATCTGTCTTTTACTTTTACTGTCTGTTGTTGGTGTGGAAATTAATGGTCAGGAAAATAATTACAAATTTCTAGTGCTAAGTTAAGTTTTTGATATTGCTATGTTTCCACAAATTGTTGTTAAACATGTTAAATTTCTCTCTAAATATTTCCTTGCTTCTTAAAACTTGTATCAAAAAACTAAATGTGAGGTTTTAATACAATGACACAGAACTTTTCTCCATGAGCTTGTTTGAGATATTTGGTTTAATTCATTTGTATTTTCTGTTGTTTTAATGACCAGTTAATAAACACTAGAATGAAAGGCCCCAAACCTTGCCAGTGTGTTTGAGAAATTGTTGAAATAACTGTGCTACTTATTTGTGTTCAGTTCAGTTCTTTTGACCCTTCAAAGAGATCACGTGACCACTGATCTTCCTCTTTACTAATCAATTTGAAATGAGGTAGAATAGAAAATGCATTGTTTTCTTTTTCTTTTTTTTTTTTTTTTTTGAGACGGAGTCTTGCTCTGTCGCCCAGGCTGGAGTGCAGTGGCCGGATCTCAGCTCACTGCAAGCTCCGCATTCCGGTTTATGCCATTCTCCTGCCTCAGCCTCCTGAGTAGCTGGGACTACAGGCGCCCGACACCTCTCCCGGCTAGCTTTTTTTGTATTTTTTTAGTAGAGATGAGGTTTCACCGTGTGAGCCAGGATGGTCTCGATCTCCTGACCTCGTGATCCACCCGTCTCGGCCTCCCAAAGTGCTGGGATTACAGGCTTGAGCCACCGCGCCCGGCCAAAATGCGTTGTTTTCTAAAAGTAATTCTGATTTGTTCATCATAGCAAATTAAAAAAGCATAGTAGAAAAAGATTAGAATCAAAAGTGATTCCTCCTGCTTTGTCCCACCTGCCCTGGACACCTTAGTCCCCAAGCCACACACATGCAAGAGGACACACAGGCATGAACTTAGAGGTTTTAGTAAGCTCTGGGGGAACTCTAGCCTAGTCTCCTCAGCTGTAGTGTCATGTGCTGTGAGGAGTTGATGAGATGACTTAGGTGCAATTACAGAGTTGGCCCGCAATGTTTTTTGTCTCCTCTTTCTGTCTTGAGTGCTGTGCATCTAGTCTTGTGCTCATCTATTATTTAGGGAATATCTTAAAAGTGTTTCTCTGCCCAGGGAGAAGACAGAATTTCATCTGATGTCAGTAACGTCTATAAGGTTTAAATATAGCGAAGAAAATCTGCATTAAAGGCTGCAAACTAAGGGCTTGCATTTTGGCAGTTATTAAGCCTAACAGAAAGAACATGACCTAGGGATTTGGTGGTCTAATTTCACATTTTGGACCAGTCATTTTTCTGGCTGTGTATACTTGAGCTAATTTCTTACGTTGTTCACTTTAATTTCCTCATATATAAATTCAGTTAACTTTCCTCCCTATGTTCCCACTAGAATTACAGAAAACCATACCTGCCTGGAATTGGTACAGTAAGTAGCTCATACTAAATACTGAAAATATATGTCTTATTAAAGTTGCTAAAAGAAGCAATGATAATAATTATCATGTCTTTCTGATAATAAAGAAGAGCATGGAAATTACCCATCAAACTTTTTTTCTGTAAAGAACTGGAATGACAATCTTATATTTTGTAAAATTCCCAAAGCTGTATAAGGAAGACAATTTAATCATAGAGAGTCAAATTCGGCAGAAATATACTAAAATGTAAATTTTTAATCACTTTATCATGATGCATTAGAATACATTCTTTTCTATTTAAAACAATCTTACTTGCTAGAACACTTTGACAAAGTTGTTTCTACTTCTGAACACAAAGCTGCTGTGGATAGGTCTAAAGCAATACTTAGATTTTGAGTTTATAATAGAAATTTGGGTAGTCCAGTTTCTAGTCTTATCTAGACCCATGGCAAGCCATTTCAACTTTGATGGAAAAGATTTGATGTATTTACTTCATAGAAGGGCTTTAGAGAGACAAAAAGAGGAAGCATGCTATAATTCTTATGTTTTCAGACTCTGCTATTAGGTACAGAGCAGAATTTTGAAGATGCATTAATTCTTTCAAGTCATGAAGGCAGTGTATAAAAGAGCAAGTTACAAAATGGTGGCCTGAGACCAAAAGAACCAATGAATTATCCTACAGAGACTTGCTTGCTTTGCTTCCTCTTTTCACAGTGAGCTATCTCTGTTGTCCTATTTTTAAGTTTACTGATTATTTCTTCTGTCTACTCAAATCTGCTGTTGAACCCTTCTGGTGAATTTTTCATTTCAGTCATTATACTTTTTAGTGTCCAAATTTCAATTTTGTTTGTTTTTATACCGTATCTTTATTGATATCCTTGACTTGTTTATATATTATTCTCCTGGTTTTCTTCAGTTCTTTATTGTTTTTTCTTGGTGTTTGCACGTATTTCAGATGGTTGATTTAAAGTGTCTAGTAAGTTAAATGCCTGAGTTTCCTTGGATACAGTTTCTGTAAATGTCTTTTCTTTTTTTTTCTTGTGAATGAGCCATAATTTTAATTTTAATTTTTATTTTTTTGAGATGGAGTCTCGCTCTGTTGCCCAGGTTGGAGTGCAGTGGCACAATCTCGACTCACTGCAACCTCTGCCTCCTGGGTTCAAATAATTCTCCTGCCTCAGCCTCCTGAGTAGCTGGTACTACAGGTGTGTGCCACCACACCTGGCTAATTATTGTATTTTTAGTAGAGGTGGGGTTTCACCATGTTGGCCAGGCTGATCTTGAACTACTTACCTCAAGTGATCCACCTGCCTCAGTCTCCCAAACTGCTGGGATTACAGGCATGAGCCACCATGTCCAGCCTCCAATTTTTTTATATGTCTTATATTTTTTGGTTGAAATTTGGCACTTTGAATGTAGTAATACTAGAAATTAGTCTTTCCTCCACTTCAGAATTTGCTATTGTGTATTGTTGAGGTTTGCAGTAATCTATTTGTTCAGTGACTTTTCCAGACTACTTTTGCAAATATTATATTTCTTCTCATATATTGCCACCAAAGTTTCTATTCTATTATCTCATCAGTTAGCCAGTTACCTGAGAGAGAGTTGATGAAATGCTTGGAGTCTAAAAGAAAAAAAAAGGTCTCCCAATCTTTGAAGACAGGCTCTGAGCTGAGGTAATCCTTTAGGTCAAGCCATGTGTGACTCTGCCTTAGCCTTCACTTTCTGTTTACATGAAACCCAATATTAGACTTACAATACTAGGGTACTCTTAGATTTTTTCTGAGTGTATGACCAGTCCTGAGCATAAATAGTATACTTCATATTTCCTGTTACATCTGGAAACCCTTCAAAGTATGTTTCCCCAAAGAAGCTTCCTTCTCAGCCTCCTTCTTCCCAGGCTTGTGGTAATCTCTGTTGCTTGCCTCATCTATGATCCCATGCCCCAGAGCTCTATAAATAGCTACTATATGTCTTAAATTCTTTAATCAGATGCTTCCCGCAAAGCCACTCCAGACTGAGGGGCGCTGCCATGAGCCTAGGGATTAGGGAAAGTTAGATAGGTAAACAAAACGGACATAACTATATCTTAATGAGACTTTGAAGCCTCTTTCTTCACTAAACACTCCCTTGGTATTGTAAGGTTTCCATGAGATCTGAGAATTTTGAAAGAGCTGATATGGTCAGTTTCTTGTCAGCTTCAAGATTGTTTCCATGGAGAAATCAATTGATGGGGCTTCTTATTTCATCGTTTCCATGAAGTTAACGTCCTCATTCACTTTCAACTACTAGTTTATTGCTGGGAAATCTGATTCTGCAATTAATCTGAATTATGAAATAACAGTAATTGTGATTTTCCAGACCCTATTAAAACACATTTTATATCTTTCTATCCAGTGGTACAAAATATATAAAGTTATAATTTATATATTAATAAAAAGTTTGAGCAGAACAGAATATTAGAATCCTTATTATCTGAATGAAGTTATTTTCAAGATGAAAAAGCAGCTAAGAACTGGAAGGAAGGTAAAGCATCTTCTTTGAGCCAATAATGATGTTAATACCCAGGCCACCTCCCTTGTGAGGTCGTGTCCTCTGCCAACTATACCAGTGGCATATAACATAGATCATGAGAAACGTTTATGGTAGCATTTTACCTTACTCAGTAAATGAAGGCAAACTAAGGTAACTGATGGCATGAAAGCAGAGGAAAATAAGTAGTGTACCTCAGAAGCCCTGCAAATAATCCTGTACAGTGATGGTGACCAAAAGTGATGGCAACAGTTTTCAAAGGTTTATTAAGTTGTTCATCTTGATTTTTCCAAATGTGGCATATTGTCACAGTAGGAGAAAATTCCTCTTGTGTTTACTCTTTGAAGCATGGGTACATGGCTTTTATAATTGTCTATGGTAGCAACAAATCATAATTTTAAAGCAATAATTTTGAATTAATTCATTTATTTACTAAGAAATGGCTGTAACATCATACAAAAGGAAACTATAACGCAGAGAGCAAAATAAATCCCCCTTCTGCTGCTTAAATGTGGTATAATTAAAATTATTAACATCTTTTTTAAAAGAGATCTTATTTTTCTAAACAGCTGTTTCAGCCTACAGAGTTATCTCTATCACTTACAGAGTGATATCACTCACAACTGTTAATTTTAAAAAAGTATGCGTGTGTGGGATGGAGATGTTTATATAGTTTTAATGATGCAAATATGAAGACTTGTAATTAGTGATTTTGGCAAAATAACAAGGATATTATGTGGAGCTGAGGATAGACTCTAGGTCTTCTGCTATACTTTTAAGTTTGATTTATTTGTTCATTTATTGAAGATTTGCTAAGCACTATGCTGGGAATTTCAAATCAAAGAATATGTAAGATGCCATCCCCATCCAAGGTAAGTCTACAAATCCAGTTAATAAAATTACAAAAGTCGAGATGATGTCTTTGAAGCAAAGGTGATGTGCTAAATTGCATTCTGTAGACCGGCCCTGCCACGACCCTTTCTGTATGCCAAAAACAAGTTGGGAACTGCATTGCCCAATATCCCTTCTACCCGCAGTTCCACATTTGAGTGGACCAATGAGAGGCACTCCTCCAGGTGTGAAAAGAGCAGTCATTCTTGGGAACAATATGCAGGGCTGTGTGGCTGGCCAGCATGGCTCTGAGGGCCATGTGCCTGAGGCTGTAGCTTGAGTGAGCTGGTAAGAGCTCCCACCAGTTATGGGGATTCTCACAGTCCACATCCACAGAGAGCTCATGAGAACCAACTGCCTTGGTGCTTTCAGTCTGAGGCCCTCAGGGCAGCCTCCCTAACTTTTGATGGGTACTCTTCTGACCTTCCCATTCCCAGATGTCCTAGGGCTTCTGAAACCTTAAATCTTTTAGTCCTTCTGACTCAGCACTGATGATGCATTTCTGTTCATAGACAAGAAGACAGAGTTTATTAATTTTTTAAAAATTACTATTTGAGCTTTGGAGAGCCAGCCAAGGAATCATGGATGTATGATATTTGACCTAGATTTTGAAGACAGTTTCTACAAAGAGAAAAGTGAGCAATGGCCACTCAAGTGGGAAGACAGTCTTCGAGAAGATGGAGAAACATAGAAACATATGACCTGCTCAAAAGTACAAGATATTTTGCGTGACTAAAAGTGGTGTGGGAGGGGCATCCTGGAGAAAGAAGATGCAAAGTTTAGCTGACAGCAGACCTACAAGCACCTCAAATTCCAGGACAACCAGAGGTCTTTTCTTAAGCAAGAAGCAGCCCTTGAAACATGTGATCAGAAATGCATTTTGGATACTTTTGCAAGAGTTCATGTAAGATATATTGGTTACCAGAATTAACAAATAAAAATACAAGATACCTAGTTAAATTCGAATTTCAGTTAAAGATATATTTTTCTAGTGAAAGAGGGGTTCCATGCAATATTTATAACATAGTTATGTTAAACTTATTTGTTGTTTATTTGAAATTCAAATATTATTGGACATCCTTGCAACCCTTAGCATAATCAGGGCCTTTACTTCACCTGGATTTCCTAATACCAGGGGGTAACAGAGTCTTTAAGTGTCAGCTGTCATTATATATCATGTTCAGCAGTCATTTTGGGCCTTTCCATCTTTTCTCCATAGACCTAAAGTTCAGAAAAAAGACATATTTGCAGGTTTGTGTGGAAAGCACTGGCTAGAACTGAAGCTCACTGCAATAACTTTTGAAGTAGCAGAAATGGACTTAGGGTCCATCTGCAGGCACATTGCACCTTTACCTAATCTTCAGACACTGCTTATGGCTTGGATTGCTTAGGGCATAGACTGATTATTAATCCTTAGGTTATCCCAGTGTGGTGACTCACACCTGTAGTCCCAGCCTCTCTGGTGGCTGCCCAAGACCTTGGGACCCCACCTCCCCACACTGTTGCATCAACATTCCTGGATATGAGACCTGGAGTCAAAGGAGATTGTTTTGGAGCTTTAAGACTTAATGACTGCCCTGCTGAGTTTCGCACTTGCATGGAGCCCGTAGTCCCTTTGTTTTGGCCAGTTTCTCACATTTGGAATGGGAACATTTACCCAATGCCTGTATCCCCACTGTATCTTGGAAGTAATTAACTTGTTTTTGATTTTACAGAATCACAGGCGGAAAGGACTTTCCTTATCTCAGATGAGACTTGGGACTTGGACTTTTCAGTTGACACTGGAATGAGTTAAGACTTTGGGGGACTGTTGGGAAGGCATGATTGTTTTTGAAATGTGAGAAGGGCATGAGATTTGTGAAGGGCAAGGAGTGGGATGATATGATTTGGCTCTGTGTCCCCATCCAAATCTCATGTTAAATTGTAATCCCCATGTGTCAGGGGAGGGACCTGAAGGGAGGAGATTAGATTGTGGGAGTGGATTTCCTCCATGCTGTTCTCATGATAGTGAGTGAGTTTTCACGATATCTGATGGTTTAAAAGTGTGTGGCAGTTCCCCACTTGCTTGCTCTCTCTCTTCTCTTCCACCATGGTAATATGTGCTTGCTTCTCCTTTGCCTTCCACCATGATTGTAAGTTTCCTGAGGCTTCCTAGTCATGCTTCCTGTTAAGCCCGTGGAACCGTGAATCAATTAAAAATTTTTAATTCATAAATACCCAGTATCAGATAGTTCTTTATAGCAGGATGAAAACAGACTAATACAGATGATGTAGAACAAAACTGTACATAATTAATGTATACAATTTGATGAGTTTGGACATATGCATAGACCTGTGAAGCTATCACCAAAATCAAGGAAAAAAACCTATCCAGTATCTCCAAAAATTTCCCCATGTCCTTATGATTGTTTGTATGTGTGTGCATATATGTGTGTTCATGCATATATGTGTGTGTTTGTGTCCATGTGGCAAGAACACTACATGAGATCTTCCCTCTTAGTAACATTTTAAAGTGCACAATGTTAAATGTAGGCACTATGTTGTACAGAAGATCTCTGGAATGCATTCATCTTGAATAATTGAATCTTTATACTCATTGAACAAATCCTCAATTCCCCATCTCTTCAGCCTGTGGCTTTTTCCATTTAGCATAATTCCCTCCAGGTTTTTTTTTTTTATATAGATAACAAAACATTCTTTTTTTAAGGCTGAATATTATTGCATCACATGTATATACCACATTTTCTTTTTCCATTCATCAGTCAATAAACATTTAGGTTGTTTCCATATTTTCCTGTTGTGAATAAAGCTACAATAAACATGGAAGGGCAGATATCTCTACAATATATTTATTTTAATTATTTTGGATATGTACCCAACAGCAGAATTCTTGGATTATACAGTAGTTTTATATACATATATATGTGTGTGTATATATATATATACACACATATATATATATAGAGAGAGAGAGAGATGGAGTTTTGCTCTTGTCACCCAGGCTGGAGGGCAACGGCACGATCTCTGCTCAGTGCAACCTCCGCCTCCTGGGTTCAAGCGATTCTCCTGCCTCAGCCTCCCAAGTAGCTTGTATTATAGGCACCTGCCACCACACCTGGCTAATTTTTGTATTTTTAGTAGAGACAGTGTTTCACCATGTTGGCCAGGCTGGTCTCAAACTCCTGACCTGTCTTGGCCTCCCAAAGTGCTGGGATTATAGGCGTAAGCCACTGCACCCTGCAGTAGTTCTATTTTTAATTTTTTGAGGAGCTTCTATATTGTTTTCCATAATGGCTGTACCATTTTGCATTCCCACCAATAGTGTACAAGGTTTCCAGTTTCTCCATATCCTTGCCAACACTTATCTATTTTTTTGATAACCATTTTAATAGATGTGAGATAATATTCATTGTTCTTTTTTAATCAAGATTGATTTGGCTATTTGTGGTCTTTTGTGGTCCCACATGAATTTTAGAATTGCTTTTGTCCTTTTTCTATAGAAAATGTTTTTGGAATTTTGATGGGGATAGCAATAATTCTGTAGAACACTTTGGGCAGTGGAGACACTTTAACAATATTAAGTCTTTCATATGTGTATATATATATGAAAAAATATATATATTTTTATAAATGTTTTATTGTTTTCAATATACATCCTTCATCTTCTCCGTTAAGTTTATCCCTAGATATTTTATTCTTTTTGGTGCTATAGAAATGGGATTGTTTTCTTAATTTCCTTTTTGGATAGTTTATTGTTAGTGTATAAAAACTCAAATGATTTTTGTATGTTGATCTTAAATCTTGCAATTTTACTCAATTTGTTTATAATTAACAGATTTTTAGTGGTGTCATTAGGGTTGCCTACATATAAGATAATTTTATTTTTTCATTTCTCAACAGATAATTTTACTTTTTCTTTCCTGATTTAGATGCCTCTTATTTATTTTTCTTATCTAATTTCCCTGGCTAGGACTTCTAATACTATGTTGAATAGAAATAGCAAGAGTGGGCATCCTTGTCTCGTTCTATCTTAAATAAAATGTTTTTCTGTTTTTCAGCATTAAAGATAATGTTAGCTGCAGGATTCTCATATATGGCCTTTATTGTATTGCAGTAAATTTCTTCTAGACCTAGTTCATTGAGTTTTTATTGTGAAAGTGTATTAAATTTTGTCAAGTGCATTTTATGTATATATTGAGATGATTGATTATGTGATTTGTATCCTTTATTCTATTAATGTGGTATATCACATTAATTGATTTGCACATGTTGAACCATCCTTGCATCCCAGGAGTAAATCTTAGTTGGTAATGGTGTGTGATATTTTCAATATGTTGAATTGGTGTGCTCATATTTTGTTGAAAATTTTTGCGTCTGTGTTCATGATGGATATTAACCTGTGGTTTTATTTTCTTGTAGTGTTAAATGATTATTTTAAAAACCACAAATGTATTTAAAGGCATTATTTCCAAAAAGATTCACTTAAACTTCAAATGTGTCATTTTTCCTGTTTCTAAAAATGTTTCAAGAGGACTATATAGCATAGCTAGATATATTAAAGTTCACTTTAAATTTTAAAATCGAAGAATGAATAATACTATTTGATTATTTAAAAAATTGCTACTAAATTTCTACTATGGTCAAGGCTCTGTGCTGGCTGCTGCAGTTATCAGGTTGTTCAAAGCAGATCAACTTTGCAACACTACCTGTAATATCACAGTAAAAGGTCAGGGAATGGGTTATGTTGGAAGACTGGAGAAAAACATCTGCAGAAAATGCAGTTTTATAAATTTACATGAGAGTAGTAGTTCAGGCCATTCAGAAAATTCTAGGTTACACCTGGGGGCAAGAGACTGGACCTTTCCTTTACAAACATTTTGTTTGAGGTGTGTGGGCAGAAAACTGCTGCCCCCTAAAGACATCCATGCTTTGGGAAGAGATGAGGCTATATTAGTCCCCATACAGGTGGGCGTGACCAAGTCCTAGGAGAGACTTTGTACAGCATTATCTTCTTAGATTAATCACACGGGTAGATCCTGATCCATCTCAAGCTCCATGACTGGCTCTGATTACAAGAAATTATCCTGTTTAAGTTAATGAAATAGTACCTTATGCAGGCCCAAGGGCTACAACATTTTCAATCTCTTTAACTTAATCGTGTTTTTCTCTCTTTAACATAGACTGGGAAATTATAACAAGCAACACATTCTCCTGACATGCATAACTATGGCACGCTTCCATACAATGAAAAAAAGAAACTATTTTTAAATTTCATAAAAAGACAGCACAAAATCTGTTTTAATTTTTTTGTTTGTTTTCTATAACAAGCTGAAAAAAATCAACTACAACAGAATTATTTGATCATGTCCCAGCCTGGTACACAGTATTTACAAATGCTTGTACCCCCATCCTTCCAACCTACCCTGCCAATTTTTTTAAATGGAGGAGAGAAAGAAGAAAGGAAATAAAATTGTCCCATTCTGTTTTAATATTTAAATTACAACACAAAAACAACCTTTAGCAATTTTGAGAACACTGGAATAGTAAAGCTTTGGGGTGTTCATACCCAAATTCAAAGACAAACAGATAAGTGATTTTCAGACAGAGGCTTTACTGAAAAATCTTGAAGTGATCAAGCATGTTGGAGCATTTTACTAATGTCAAATGACTGACAATAGCAATTTTGAAGCTGATCTGTGTTTAGGAGCATTTGCATTCCCCAAGGATATTTTTGAACACTAGGCATGTGATTACTGGGATGATTGAGTTCAGGTTGAACTTGAATATTTCAGTGAATATATGAAGTATGTGGCTGAGTCTATAAGACTTGAGGCTAATTAGATGTTTCTGAAGTGACTTCTTTTTTCTCCCTCTCAAATCAAAACCAGGACACATGCTCTGGGAAAGTACTTTTGTGATAATTCTGGTTAAAAGAGGCAAGTGTAATTGAGATGCTAATATATTGGAAGTCCTGACATGATTTGATAACGTTTAGATGCAGAGGAAACACATGTTAAAACTATTAAAGCTAAACCTTGGAAAAGCCAGGCAGAGTTCTTGGGAGATGATTCTCCAGGGTCATTCATATTTCTGCTCATCTTGTGAGCACCGATAGCTTTGATTCTAGACTGCCTTCTCACAGAGGGTTGTATAGGCGACAGCCTCTGAAGATAGACACAGAGTATCCCTCTGAAGCAAAGGGCTGGTTTGCTTACTGTCCGGGATAATAAGTATAATGTCCTATCCCAGCACTGGGGGTAAGTTTGTTTCTAGCCCAGTTTTGAAAGTAGGGTTCCCCGAGCTTGGGACTCCTCAGCTACGATGCGAACAGGCTTGTGTTTTGCATCACAGGAACTGTTGGCCTCCACTCCATGCGACTTGTGAGGGAATGAAGGGAACAACTGCATCCCACATCACAGGGAAGATATTCCAAGCCTGGTCATAGCATCCTGAAGTTTGCAGGCTGTTAGGATGCTTGTTCCAGGAGCATCCAGGAGGAGTCAGTGCTTATGACAAAGACATGGTCTGACACATCTTCAAAGTTCTATAGGGAGACATTTTGGAAATGAATTTTCCAGATCCCAGAAAATCCCAATACCAAAATATTATGCTGCTGAACCAAACTCCTTATCCTTTTCTCAGAGAGGCAAGCTTAGGCATACTTACCTACATCTGGTCCCCAGCCCAGCATTTGTTGGGCTGAGTAGAAAGTCTGTGGCTAATGGGTAACCTAGGGTAGTGTAATGTGGTCGAAAAGCTCTGCTCTGCAGTTTGGGGAAGCTATGACCATCTGCCACTAACACTCAGATAAAGCACATAAGTTTTGAATTTGGGGGAATCCTTTCAAATCACTGGGTTTTTGTTTCCATCTGAGAGTATCTGTGAGATCCATGGTTTTCAACACCATCTTTAGTAGCAGAATTATTTATTCAAGCTAAATTGTATGTTGCTATGTGACCACAACAGAAGTGATGAATACAACCCCTCAGGCGTGTGTGGCCCCAGCTCTCC